CTTCTCTTGCTCATGCTCCAGACTCTCCAAAACCCTGATCCTTGCTTCCTTCTCCAAATCCAGCTCTCTGCGTACAGCCGTTAATTCTCCTTTAATTTCATCCGTTACAATCTTCTCAGTCATCAAAGCATGCTCGAATTCATCCCGCTCTATTCGAGACCTCTCCAACTCGCTTTGAAGCTCCACGAACTCTCGTTCACGCGCAGCTTCATTGGCTCCCTCATGCAGAATACGGGCACGTAATGATTCCAGCTCACGAGATGAACGTTCGGCTTCCGAGTTAGAATGTATTAATTCGTCTTTCAGTGTTTCGACTGTTAATTCGAGATCGGCATTCTGCGCATTCAATTGCTGAATATGCTGTTCTCTTCGGTCTAATTCTTCCTATCACAGAATATCAGCAAGAAGAACAGATTCCAAGTCCAATCGCATATACTGACCGCGTCTCGCTTCAACTTGCCCTCCACCGAAGAGCGCATAGTCGAGAGCTTTGCCACGAGCGTATTATATTTCGACGTCAGTGTATCATATTCTTGCTTCGTTTTGTGCAGCTCTTCTTGTAAGACTTGGACATCATCACTATAAGATCCTCCAGATATGTCTTCTGAGCTGCCATTCGCCTTCCCAAGAAATCCGTTAACATGAGCTGGCGAAGGGCTTCTTGGGCTATCCATCGACAGGCGCATTTGCGCGAGAGCTTCGTTCGCTGCTGCGAGAGCGGGCTGTTGGGTTTCGACGTCAGGCCCGCTGACTCCAGCATCCACTGAACGTCGCTCGCGGTCCATTGAAGGCAAGGTAATGGCACCGGGGATGGCGTGACACCGTTGTGACGATCGCTGCATGACTAAGCTTATTCAAGACCAGGGCAAAAAAAACGGCTGCCAGGGGCAAAAAACGATCCGGACGGGACTCGAACCCGCAACTTTCACCTCGGTAGGAATCCTGCTTAGTCAGCACCGAAACCGGAAAGTGACGAGCTACCATTGCTCCACCAGACCTTATGGTTTAACATCTTATTGGTCGAGCTTGGGAGACCATTTTACGAACAGGACCTCAAGTTCCTTAGGGAAGCGCCCGTACGTGATAATGGCCCACAGCTGTCCACAATGGTTTGCCGTGGGAATTTCGCCGTTTTGCCGCGAGAACTGTCCATAGCCGTCTACAATGGCACGCCGTCGTCGCCGCCGCCATAAAGTGACGAGCTACCATTGCTCCACCAGATCTTATGGTTTAAGGTCTTATTGGTCGATGTTGTGAGACCGTTCTACAGATAGGACCTCAAATTCCTTAGGGAAGCGCCTGTACGTGAAAATGGCCCACAGCTGTCCACAGTGGCTCCCCGTGGGAACTCCAAGCTGCGGCTGTCAGCTCACGCTCCGTAAATGGAAATTTCTATATATATGCTATTTAGGAGTGTTCTGAATAAATCCTTTAAATCACTCTTAAATTTGAAGTACATGCTATAAAATACAGGGAAAATAGCGAGATATTCCATTCTGCTGTGATTATGTCAGGGGACAACTCTAAAATTCCATTTTCACAGTCATTCAGATTCCGCTTTAATGCCCATCAACAAGCTCCCAGAGTCAGTGATCACTCAAGTATACTACAATCCACCCAGAAGTATGATTGGAATGACATCTCACTATTGTTCCAAACAATTTCACACAGCAAGCTTCTTCATTATCCGAGTCAGCATGATATGAAGCTAGTTGATATGTAGGTGCTAAGGTAGCATCCGGGAGTACAAAATGTTCCCAATGATCAAATGAGGCACTAATAGTCTCCGCTTGCCTCCAGCTTGAATTGAATAATAAGGAAATAAGGCCCAAGGGTACATATATAATCAGCGTCCTTTCGGAGGTCTACCACCTCCAAAGGCTTCGGTCCTGGATGTTCCTGCTTGAGCTCTCGGAGGTGAAGTAACGTGCGTAGTTTCGTGCTGGGAGAATTATCGAAAATTATCATTCCATAATATCTTTGTATAGGAATAATATTTATATGTAGAGTGGAAATGAGGTCAAGGACATGAGAATGTCCTAAAGAGGCAAGCGTATAATAGAACAGCACGTCCCATACACCCAATATCCACATAAATTGGATTTGATTGATGAGTCTGGACAAGACCATGAATCCAACTATCATGGTCTCCGCTTTCTGAAATTTTACGTACTGTAGTCGTTGATATCCAGTATTCTTCAGCCCGTGGGTTCGTATGCGCAAGGTCCCGCCGAAGAGGGAATTTTGGCAGCAAAAAAAGTCGAACCTTACGTCTCTTCTCCTGCATTACACCGCGCACTGCACACTGGGTACTCTATGGGAAACGATACGGGTATTTGGTTGACGGTATTAGCGAATTGCACATCGTCCGTCTTGAACTCCTCAATTCCAAGAGGAGGCTTCGTGTCCCTAAGCCCCCTGCCCGACGATGCATTCTGCTTGGAGAGACACAGCCATCTCCTTTGAGGGCTTGCACTTTTGCGAACAATGTTAGGGAGGAGATGGGGATTCGAGTAAGTGCGATGCGTGGCAACGAGGTGCGTAGAGGCTTCGAGCCCGAAGAGGATGAGGAGGACGGATATTGAAACAATTTTCTTTGGTCGTGTCCAAGTATAAAAGAACGTCCCTCCGAAATGGTGTAGAAAACACCGATGGATTAGTTAATATCTTGCTTGTATTATTACAGCCGCAGTGAAAAGGGGGACCAAGTAAAAATTATGTGCAAGTTCGAGAAAGGTCAATAGCGTCCGAATTTATGGTATGACCGTGTCTTCGGAGATAGCAAGGTTGTTCAAAGGATAGATAAATGTAGATAGAGAACATTGGCAGTGGGCGTGCACAACCTGCCGGGGACACGGTTGGGATAGCGTGATGACGCTTTAATGTTAATCAGAGTCAGAGAAGAAGAATTTTGGTTGAACAAGAGAACGGATAGCTCTGGTGGTACCAATTCCAACGCATTCGAAGATGACAACATTAAAAGTCAAAGTCCAACAAGGAAAGAACATGCCTATAAATCATGATAAACGTCTAAAAATGAAAGAGATCATGCCGATGACCCGACAAGTCACAAGAGTTCCGGTATTGGGTAGATCCAGAGGTCGATCGTCCATGA